AGGGAAAGATTTACGAGATCTTCATATCTGATATAAAGGACAAGCAAAAACTTAGAAGTTCAGTACTGACACACAGGAGAAGTTCCAAATACTGCTGGAAATAGCAGTCAAACGGTAAAATACAGCAAGTAAAATTTTTTTGCTGAACAATTCACAAAACGGTTAAAACATCTCAACCTGAACTCAAGAAGACTGGTAATAAAGTGAGGGAGGGGACTGTGCTGGTATTGCACATGAAACTATAAATCAATAGAGCTGCTGGTATAGCTATACACAGAAACCAAGTGTTTGGAATACAGAATATACTCTGTTGAGGAAAGACAGAAATAAAGGAAGGGCAGCTTTACAGATACCAAGTAATGCTGTAGATCACAAGAATAAAAACAGTGTGGAAAAAATCTGAGTCACAACCATTTTAGGAAACAGTTAGAAGGGTTTCCTTGGAGAGATCTCTCATGCTGTCTGGGTCAGATTTACCCTCAGCAAGGTTGATCATGACAACTAAGGGTCCATTAAACAAACCTAGATGCAAATTTTCAGAATTTTAAAGGAAATAAAAGTAGGAAGGTAATCTGAAAGTGGGAAAACTGCAGTGTGGGTTTGATTACAAGAATACCGTTTTAAGTTGATGCCTCCCATAAATAATCCAGGAGAAATTATAACAGGTGATTAATTTTGTGTAGATACAGAACAGACTAAAATCATGAATGGAAAAGAGTTTAGGTTTGTTACTTTGCAGTGGCACGTACATCCTACAGCATATGGAAGACAGACATGCTAGAACACCTTTAATAAAATAATTCATTTTCTAGACAAAGGAACGTTTGACACAGCATCAAATAGGAAACAATTTCAGTTGGAGGAGGTGTAAATTAGTTCCTAAATTATTAAAGCATTTAAAGAGCTGGCTAGAGGTGAAATTCCTATTGGTTATGTAAAAAAGACTGAGGGTTGATGCAAAATTCGTGGAACCGAATATAGACCAGTTTCTGGGACCGAGTTTACTTCACATCTCATTAATATTGTTGGCAGGAAATGCAGGAGTGTACTAATGAAATATGCTGATAAGGCAAGCTGGTAGACATACTGGATACATAACCAGATCAGAGTATCATAAAATGAAAGCAGGATAACTTAGAAGTAGAACAACAGAAATAGGATAAAATTTAAAAATGGGATGCAAGACCCTGTATGAATTTATAAGGGATTCCAAATGGAATATTATCACTTGGGAAAAAAGAAAGAAGAGAAACGTCTTGTACTAATAATCCTAAAATGTTTATAAGCCAAAGTGACATGGTAAATGAGACTGTAAAGCATATCAGGGAGAGAACTACCACTATCATTGCATATGGTGCTAGAGAGAATTTGTTTGGTATACTATGTAGTATTCAGGCTCTACATTCAAGAAAAAAATTCCTACTCGCAAAAGTACAGAGAATGAATGCTAGGGAAATGGACGGTCTTGGTATTTGCCCCATTACTGCTAATATCCTACTGCTGGAAAGTGTGTGAGAGCCGGAGAAGGACTGACACAAGTGAGGTGTTGCACCCCTGGCTGTATACACAAAAGTGTGGAAGGAGGAAAGAAGGCTTGTGGATACAGCCATGAGGATGAGTGCCTGCAGAGAAGACGCCCTTGGCTCCTGCTATGCTGGGCTCATCTGTCTCTGGGTTTGACAGCCAGGAAGTGCTACTTCACTTTCTCTTTATCTGCCTTCCCCAGATCTGTGTAAAGTAACATCAGATAATCCTGGTCTAATTTACGATCCAACCCCCCAAAGGTTAAGTAACTCGGCTTACATAACTGAGTCAAATAAAGGTTGAAATGGACTATGAATGAAGTATGCAGCCAAAAAGGAGAAGAAATAGCCCAAGAACAACTGGATGTGAATTGACCACAACTGACCAAAATCATGACAACCATCAGATGAATGTTGTTGCAAAACCCCCCTAAATTAGGAGTAGTAGAATCAGAAAAACAGATGCTACCTTGCACAAGCTCAAGTTTTCGCACACTAGAAAAATCTGAAGTACAGTTTAGGGCACTTACTTTCTACTGGGAAAGTGAATGCTCCCAGTACATAACGCTAGCAAGCAGCATGGCATATTGAGCCTGATAAGCTATTCAGAGAATAATGACAGGAACTACCCAAAGAGTCAGAAGACTACTAGATGACAGAGTATTTACAGGACCTGTAGCTTAAAGAATGAATTTGCTATGGGTAAACTATACAAATCAAGGTAGCACCAGATACCGTCTATTTCTCTCCCTGCCCCGGCCCCAAAAACCCCAAACACCCCAGATATATTCTTAATACAAATTAAAAGCTGTAAACTAGGAAATGTCTAGAAAAAAGGAAGAGCATTGGAGATGGATATTAAAATTCTAAGCTAAGATTCTTATGTAGCTACAATTTGAAATGGACAAATTGGAATACTCTGGCAGCAGCCTATTCATGTTAGTTATCAGTGATTACAGAAACAGAATCTGTGAACTGATGTGTAAGTATTCTCTATAACTATGAAACTTGCTTAGCTTTTCATTGGAAGTCATTAGCTAGAAACGTATCTTCCAAAAACCAGAAACTTGAAATTGCCACATGTTCCTATTGTTATCTTTCAGATAGATTTTTACAACCATATACCAGAAAGTGTCAGATGACCAAAAGTATGCAAAGAAACTAAATAACGATCATCTGTGTCACATTAGCAGGGTTTTTTTTGTTTGTTTGTTTTTTAACATATAAAACATATAAAGGTCCTTTAAATGAGAGACTGGAACCCTGGAGTATATACAAGTTGATGTATATAAGAAAACACAGCACAAAAAAAATTTGGCATGCTGACCTTGGTATTTCATCTTCTTCCCATTCAATGAAAGATGCGCTGTTTGAATTTGCTGGCAAATGAATTCTATGACGTTTACTTACACCTGATGTATCATCTAGAAAGAAAAACAGAATGAGAAATGAATTCATTTTATGCAGCAATATTTTTTACACATATAACTATGTAATTGTGTTTATTATTTAATACTACCAGTCCAAATGCTCCTAAAGAATACATAGCACTGCATGGTATCAGCTTCAAAAAGTAACTATGCTATCATTTAAATGATTTAACTTTCTTTCTAACAAGTAGATACATATAAAAAGAAAAATATATTCTCAACACACCGACATTATTAGAATTACATTTGCTGTGTTCTAGTCATATCTTAGCCTAAATTCAATCTTTTCCTATTCACGTGAGTTTCAAAGTAAATCATGCGGAGTCTGACGTAAACTTCAGAATTCCCAAGTGTCTGGGTCTTCAGGTCAGATCCCAATGGAAATTAGAAGCTAAAGAAAACACTAAATTCTGCTTCACACTTTTCCTCTTTCTTATCTGTGAGCTGAAAGAGAATACAGAATATATTCCAGATGCAGTGGCAGTAGCAGTAAGTGGAAACCTGCAGCGAAGGCAGATGTTGTCTGACCTACAAATAAAGAAAACACCATGTAAGTTTGCTCGGAGGTCTCAGTGTAAGGAAGTATGCTCCGAAGTCATGCTGCAGAAGTCTCCTCTGAAGATTTACTACCTCCCTTGTGGTCTCCTCCTGAATCTTCCCTTTTCAGAGGAAGGAAAGACAATATACACAGGATGTGGCACAAAAAAGAAAAAAGCCCAGGAATGGAGTTGGGGGAAGCAGAATGGGAGAAGACCTTGAAAATTACTCAGTCTCCCACTTCTATGTGAAAGACCAGCTTGAACCTTGAATTTTCTCAGCTATGTTGGTGTCACACACTAGCATGGGTTTTTTGTATTAAATTTACCTTTCACCGATAGCAAACACTTTTGCGTTGGTTAAAGATGCACTAACTGAACAATTCAATTGTCAGAGACTTTCAATAAATAAATATTTGTTCAAATATGTATTTTTATTCTACAATTTTAAAGTAAATTTCATAACAGAATCTTGCCAATGTGAATTCTACTACTTGGAATAGCAGGGACAGGGATATCTCATGTAGCAAAAAGCCATGAATAATACAGTTACTACAGAAGCAACTGGGAAACACCATGTCAAAAGTGCCTTAGAATCTACAAATAGAAGCAACTGAAATCCAGCAGGCTTAATTAAATATGTTCCAGACCAATCCTACTGCACCCAGACTAGTTCCTGCAAACCCTGCCCCTACATCAGACTCCTAAGTGCACTGACATAGGACACAGATGCTAAATTTACACTGGAAATGTGGCACTCGAGTGTGGTGAAACAACATGCTTGGATTTACGCAGGAGCTAACTCACATTCAGCCACACCTGCACTAAGATGGTCTGCACACTGTGATGCCTAAGCAGGTGATTCCAGAAAGACAACACAAAATATCTGATCCCATTTGCACAGACCCAGCTCAGACCTAGTGTAGCTTAGTGCCTGTGCTGTTCAAAAGCGACGACCTGACCCTGGGCAGAGCTGGTGCAGGAAGAAACACAGCCATGTTTTTACTGTGTGGCATATTGGCTAATTCTCCATATTAAAATGCAATCTGACTGTGCATGGAAGCATCTCTTGTTATTTTTCATCTGCAACTTGATTATTCTGAGTTGATGAAATGGGACTGAACAGATGTGTATTTTAAAGGAAAATACATCACAGCAGCTATGCAAGATTATAGGCCAACTGGTAAAATATATACTATTATTTTTAAAAATCATACGCACTTCAAATACCACACCAGAGCAGTTTCAGTGCATTAACCCCTTTTGTATTCCCTATGAACCCTACTTCCAAATACTTCTAAAAATTGAGGCTCAAATTCCCATATCAGTTTGTTTCTTCAGTAAAGTTACTCATAGGGATAGAGATTTAAGGACACTCAATATCCCCCTTTTCTTGACATGAAGATCTTGAAAGACAGTAGCAGTGACACATCAAGGTCTTTCAGAGTCATATTACAGAAGAAGATTCAACTACTGAAAACAAAAGTTTTGTAATAGTTTTAGTGGCATGTGATGCACAAATGAATTTGCAGCCTTCTTCCTCACTATCCATAAAGACAAGAACTTGAAAAAAAGAACTCCCGCATCTTCTGGATACAGGCTGATGAAGGCAGAGTATTCCTGCTACTACAAATTTGCCTGCTGAGCGCTCTCATCCTTCAAAACAGTCTGCGTATCTCAGTGAGAAAAATACCAGTGGAAATAGGCTCTTGAGGCTGCTTGCTTACATTTAGGAACAGATCTATTATTGAATTTTCTATGCCTTGCCAGACCAATTTTTATATCATCATCTGCAAGGTAAGAAATGTGTTTGCTGCACATCTTTAGGCAAAGGCTTTTACTGCCACCTAAGAAACAATGTTCAGCCTGGCCTGCATGGCACAAACTACATGACTAAAATGAATGAACACCCCCAAGACACAGAAGCCGTGGGACAGGCAGGTAAGCGTGCCTCTCGGTTGTAAGCAGAGGCTGTGCCTTCTACAGCACTCCAACAGGTCTGAGCTTAGAAAGGATGGCCCTTCTCAGGGCTGCCGTGCAAGGACTGCCCTCTCGACAGCACTGCCTCTGTAAGGTTGTTCCAGGGACAAAGCATCACACTGCATGTTTCCAGAAGGCCGCTCTGGATGTTTGCAAGGCGAAAGGTACCTGACTATACTTCCTCAGGACTGAAGATGCTCTCTCCATGGCTGAGCTTTTGTCCTCCTACAGTTTTGACACCAGCAAAAAGTGTGGCCTATAGTTGAGTATGAAAAGAGGGGTTTTTTTCAGATGAGAATCAGTTATGAAACCTTATCTATTGCTATCTGAATATATATGCATAAAAATAATGGGAAAATTAAAGTCAGCATGATTCTTCCTTGCTGTTTACAGACAGATACTTTACCATTCTTTTCAATTCTTGCTTTAGCTGTAGGAACAATTATGATTCCAGTAAACAATACTTATTTTTATAAATGTTAAGCACCAAAGACATTATGGTTTCCCTACTGTTATCTTCCCTTCATACTGAAGCATTTATATAACTTTATGGACGTTCTTGCCAAACTTCATTTTATGTTAGTGTGTACACTCAAAATGCCAGACTAATTTTTTAAAATGAAAATTTGAGATACCTCTTTTGCTCAGACGTTTATATTCCAAATTTCACCCTAGAGCAAATGACCTTAGTAGAAACACAAGCATTTCAATTAAAAACTTTGTCAGCAGAGCATAATGATTAGCCATAATTTTATAAATACACTACCATAGCAAAAAAAAAAAAAATTCTAATTGATACAGGGATCAAAAACAAATGTCAAAAAATTAAAACAACAGTATTAGTACGCTAGCTTTCATGTAAATTATTCAACTAAATACCAACTATTTTTTATCTCCTAACTTGAAAAGAGATGAGACCATCTTGTGAAAATGGTCATAGCTGTGCTGCTGACAGAACACATGTTTCTTGATATATAGCATCTCATTTCAGAAAGCAGACTCCTCCTCAATCCCAATAAACAGGCACAAAAAGGAAAAATGACAGAAAGATACACACTGACTTTGTTTTGTCACAGAAAGCAAACTATAGGGAAACAACACGATACCCATTCAGCCACAAACTACGGCAAAAGTCTGACAGCTAGTGACAAAATGGCAGTTTTTAGCCTTCAAAAAAATTATTTGGTCTTAAGAAATAACACCTTACTTTTTCTCCTTGCCTTTCTGAATTTGACAGCAGCCAGGTTTATTAAATTCATTCCATATAAGTTGTAGTCTATAAAGAGTTGAAGGAGGTAGGAAATATGGGCTTCATGAGGCTGGTAAGATTTGTTCATTATGGCTCCACCTTGCAGAAGCTCACATACTCTAAAATTAAAGACAATTAGGACATAAACCAAAAATTATTTCAGTACAACAATATTGTTATTTGATTTTATCAAACTATAAAATATTGAAGCTTCTTAAATTTTGCCTTAGTTGTATTATTAACTTAAGAATTTTGTTTTCACAATAACAGACCCACAAAAATGATCTCTGCTAATAATGATTCAATATTTGAGTGTTAATTACAAAGGAGCCATGAATCCTCCAGCTTAAAGGGAAAAAAAAAAAAACCCAAACCTCTGAAAAAAACATCATACTATGTACTATTCCTGCAACTGATCCAAAGCCACTGTAGTCCATGGAAATCTTTCTACAGAGTAACTGTGGCAGCTGTATACCTACACACCAGTAACAACTTTGAAAGTCTCTCTAGTTCTCCTTAACGTATGTATGAAGATGTCCTGCATGGTTTTTAAAGTTACATACTATATACACAGAAGCAGTATTTTAACAGCTTCCTAGAAGCATGACAAATCTGCTTTTTTAAACATCTACACATTAAAAAATAACTGCAGGTATTTGGATAATTATAAATTGGTGTGATAAATTTATCTCAAAGTAACAGCATATATCTATAAATCAAAGAAAAGCACTAAGCATTTCTAAATGCAACAAACTGGGTTAAAAAATTTAAAATTTTATACAGAAAAATCAAAGGAATTATTTTAAGCGAAGTGTCAGTCCTTATTTGGATATGAGTAATTCAAACATGAGAAGCTCCAAAGTTCAGGACAATTGTCACGTCATACATGCATATAGATTACACCAAGACAGAAATGTAACATCAGGCAAAATTTTACTAGCCTAGAACAAAAACCAGACAATCCTATCTTATGATCATGTATTAGATCTTTTAAAAAAAGTTAAAAAACGTAATACTGCACACTCAAGGGATTTCAGTTTATGCTTGAGAAGTAATTGCTCCTTATTTGTTCCTGAATTTACTGCAACTATTGTGACAGTAAGATTGAGATCAACTGTGCTTTCACTTAACAGAACATTACCCTATTGAGAAACAGAGAAACTGTCTAATAATAAGAACTATCCAGTTTCCCAAGTATATTTTAAATTTAGTAATGGTGCTGGAATTGAAAAACTTAAAAACTACCAAAATCCACTTCATAATATATGAAAGAGTACTACATTGTTCTCCTGTTTTCCTTAAGAATTACAGGAAAAGTAACCTGATGCAAATTTGTTCAAGTGTTCAAGAATTACAGTTAATACAAGACAACTAAAGGCAAGTATATTTTGGTCTTGCTTTCCTAACTTGCTACTGCTTTAAAAAGAATACTGGTGTGCTTAAAATTAGCAATTTTCTTATGTGTTTTGAAAAATTTGGACAATAATTTTGTTGCTTTTATTTTGTTAAGATGTAGGTGAATCTTGCTTCAAAAATTGACTTTTTAATACAAGATATAAGGAAATCAGCCAGTACTTCATATCACCACATCCTTACCTTTTTACCATTGCAGGGTTGTAAAGATAAATCTTCATAAACTGTCTCTCCTTTTCATGGTAACCATAAAAAGGCCTGGAGAGGAAGAAGTAAAAGCAAGAAGCTAGCCAGTTATGCTGTGGCATTTATTCAACCACATTTTACTATAAGGAGTATTAAAATCCAGGGGAAAAAAAATTAAAAGATAAACTGCATATCCAGGAGAATGAAGATTCCCACATGTCAGGCCAAAGGGGAGCACTACATTACTATATAAAATGTTAAAGATAAAAAGAATAGGCCCTATGCATGTCAAAATAAAAAAAAAAAAAAAAAAAAAAAAAAGAAAATTAGAAGGCACTTCTGGTTTAACATTGTCTCTCACTTTCCCCACATGTAAACACACTGATGGCATACCCATCATAATAGTACTTTTAACAAATTTATTAGTGCTGGACTGCTTCAAAAAACAGTGTTCAGCCTTTCTGATAAATGCTGTAACAAAGTCCTTAAGAACATTAATTCTGCAGATCAGGTGTAAATGAGTAAATACTGGCTGTGTAATATAAATAACTGAACAAACAGAACAGCTTAAAAGAGTGAATAGCTGCCCCTTTTCAGTGATTACTTATCATCTCATGTGCTAAATGAGGCATGAATCCTGAAGAAAATAGGATTTGAGAATGCAATTAAAGAATACATAGCATAATGAATATGTCAAGACTAAACTGAGGTTGAACAGGCAGCATTAATTCTGGTATTACTTGACTGAATTACTGACTTTTCAACATCTAGAATTTTAATCTAATATAACATGCTTGTAAAACAGCATGTTAAGGAAACAGGCCATAATTCAACACATTGCATGAATTCAAGAAGTCTACAGTTTGCAGTAATCATGACCAAGTCAACAGAAATTCAGGAAAGCATACATTTAATGTTACCTCTACAAAATAAAATCTTTTTCTCAAAAATATTTAAAAAAGTAACTGGGATGCTTACCTGCTAAGTCTAAAATATGAAGTTCAGTACTAAGAGGGATTTCAGCCCTAAATTAAATGCAAACTCAGCAGAACTGCACAACTACAGCATTAATACAGCTATCCTTAATATGGTTAAACATACACACATTTAGTATCTCCAAAAGTTAGACTGAACTGTTTAAAAAAATGTTTATGTTGTTAAAACTGAGCTAAGTTGAAACAACAAACTTAAAGCTGTTAAGCTGAAAAGGAGGAGATCAGATCTTGCATAATGAATCAATCTCTTTCTTATAGAGATAGTATAAACCTAATGACAGGTTATATACATTGAGTTATAATGACTTAATGTGCTGTAGGCATGTAAATTAAAAGCTACTTTAAAAAAACAAAGTCAGCCCTTGCATGGAAAGTGAGCCATACTCACATTGACATGGCAGCAGGGAGAGCAAGATTTACAACACTTCCAAGGTTAGCTATGAACACCTAACTTTAACTTCACAATGCACAAGGACAGCATATTTTGCCTCTTCTTTATTGCCAGACCTCCACTATGTTTGGAAGTTAATGCAGCAAAAATCTTGTGCTAAGCTTATGAAGGTTTAGCAAACACCTTTATTACATAACAATTTTCCTGCTAATGAAGAAGAGAAGGGATAATATAATCTCCAAGACTTAAAGAAAAACAGGTTTCTCACCACGGAGACACTATAATATGTATGAGCAGAATCTGACTAAGGTCAGAACAGAGGAACACAAATGGATTTGTGTGACTACCTAAGAATGTCTATCTACCCAGGTAAAGATGAAGATGTTTTACAATTTCTGTTAGGTGCTTCCCATTAGCCTCTTAAACAAGCAAACAAAGT